CCTTAGTTTGCCCACGGCTGTCTTAGGCGATCCCTGTGAAAGGGACCTTTGACCCCCAAAGGGGTCGCGACCCACAGGTTGAGAACCGCTGTTCTAGCTCCTTGCGGAGGGAGACCAGTGCCTGAGGCTCTGTGGATGGGGGCTTGGTGGGGGGAGGGGCAGGGTTGGGTCTGGGGCAAAGGACACTTCACCGAGGGGCTGGCACACAGGGAATCTGGCCGCCATAAACGTGGTGCAAACACAGGGACCACGGGGTCACGTCTGAGGAAAGGCAGAGTGCGCCGAGGGCGAGAGCTCTGGGAGCTGTGCTCTGCGTCCCCGTTGCACACCTGTCCAAGTGACCCCGAGGACTGGCTCCGGGAGGAGCGCGTGGGGACAGCCCGCCAGGGGCAGAGGACGGGGCACCGTCGAGGAAGGTCCAGGTCTAACCCTTTCCCTGAGCGGGACCCACCATCACCAGCCCCAAGAGCCAGCCCTGCCCCTGGGGGCTCCATGGGCAGCCTGGAGGAGGTGACCTGGGGTCACTATTGAAAGGGGCTAGTGACACAGAGGCTCACGGCCAAAATGATGACCGCCACTTCCCACACAGCACGTCACCCCGGCGGTGGGGACAGCCGGGATGAGACAGAGACCACATCTCTGTCCCTTGAGTGTCACCTTATAAAGCCACCCCCTCTGGGGAGTGGCGGAGGCCCTGGGCCGATGGCCTCCCTCGCCTCATGCACAGCTGGTAGGAGTTTAACTGGGCGACCTGCGTGGAGAGCCCGTTGGGAACAGCTACCAAATGGAAAACGCACACACCCTCTGACACAGCCATTCCTTAGCCAAGGAATGCAGCCTCTGGACACGTCCACAGAGCCATGCCAGGGGTGCTCAGGGCGGACACACAGCCTCTGGACACGTCCACAGAGCTATTCCAGGGGTGTTCAGAGGCGGACACAGCCTCCGGACACGTCCACAGAGCTATGCCAGGGGTGCTTGGGGCAGACACATAGCCTCTGGACACGTCCACAGAGCTATGCCAGGGGTACTCGGGGCAGACACACAGCCGATGGACACGTCCACAGAGCAATGCCAGGGGTGCTCGGGGGCGGACACACAGCCTCCGGACACGTCCACAGAGCTATGCCAGGGGTGCTCGGGGGCGGACACACAGCCTCCGGACACGTCCACAGAGCTATGCCAGGGGTGCTCAGGGGCGGACACACAGCCTCCAGACACGTCCACAGAGCTATGCCAGGGGTGCTCGGGGCAGAAGTGCAGGCTCCGGACACGTCCACAGGGCCATGCCAGGGGTGCTCAGGGCGGACACACAGCCTCCCGACACGTCCACAGAGCTCTGCCAGGGGTGCTCGGGGCAGAAGTGCAGGCTCCGGACACGTCCACAGGGCCACGCCAGGGGTGCTCAGGGCGGACACACAGCCTCCCGACACGTCCACAGAGCTCTGCCAGGGGTGCTCGGGGCAGAAGTGCAGGCTCCGGACACGTCCACAGGGCCACGCCAGGGGTGCTCAGGGCGGACACACAGCCTCCCGACACGTCCACAGAGCTCTGCCAGGGGTGCTCGGGGCAGAAGTGCAGGCTCCGGACACGTCCACAGGGCCACGCCAGGGGTGCTCAGGGCGGACACACAGCCTCCCGACACGTCCACAGAGCTCTGCCAGGGGTGCTCGGGGCAGAAGTGCAGGCTCCGGACACGTCCACAGGGCCACGCCAGGGGTGCTCAGGGCGGACACACAGCCTCCCGACACGTCCACAGAGCTCTGCCAGGGGTGCTCGGGGCAGAAGTGCAGGCTCCGGACACGTCCACAGGGCCACGCCAGGGGTGCTCAGGGCGGACACACAGCCTCCCGACACGTCCACAGAGCTCTGCCAGGGGTGCTCGGGGCAGAAGTGCAGGCTCCGGACACGTCCACAGGGCCACGCCAGGGGTGCTCAGGGGCAGCCACAGCCTCTGGACACGTCCACAGAGCCATGCCCGGGGTGCTCGGGGCGGACGCGCAGCCTCGTCTGCAGCGGCTTCACCCCCGGATGCGCCCTCCCTGTGGGGGTCAGCCCCACAGGCCAGGGGTCACTTTCCCATGTCTCAAGTGAAGGGGGCACAGTTTTTGTGTTGTTTTTTAAAGGTGCAGCTATAAGTCTGGATTTTTTTTTTTTTTAAGATCTACATTTTAAGGGGAAGAAAAGATTGCAGCATAAGATGCCTAGTGAGATCCCATTGGCTAAAAGTAATGAATCCAACATGTTGGAACGGTTCCTCAGAGAGGGAGCCGTCTGTTTTTCTTTTGTCTCCATCTCTGCTGTTGGAATTTTTACCTTGTGCACATATTGTTTTTTATGGTGACAAGTGGTGGACATTTAGAGCTGACCGTATGTCCACGTGCTCCTCCACATCTCCCCGCAGCTGGCCCGTGCCCTGCAGGGACCAGCTCTGGCCCACGGGCTGTGGGCGGCAGGTGGGACCGTCCCCCACGCCCCTGCGCACTTCCGTTATTCTGGATGGGGCAGCTGCAGGGAGGAGGAGGGGGGCCCGATCTGACCGGACTCCATGTGAGTGACAGACCATCTTGGTTGGCCCGGCCAGCGTGGCTCAGTGGTTGGGTGTCGACCTCTGAACCAGGAGGTTGTGGTTCAATTCCCGGTCAGGGCACAGGCCCGGATTTCAGGCTCAATCCCCAGTGGAGGGAGTGCAGGAAGCAACCGATCAATGATTCTCTCTCATCATTGATGTTTCTGTCTTTTCCTCTCCTTTCTTCTCCACAAATATAAAGATACAAAAAAATAAAAAAAGAACGGCTTGGTTGTTTTCAGCTGCAGCGAGTCGGGGTCTATTTGTTACTGCAGCAGAGCAAAGCCTAGACTGGGGAGCACAGCAGATGCGCGCATGATGGCGCCTCTGAGGATACCGACACTGAGGTGTCCGCCGGGAGGAAACCGGCCTCCAGGGGTCTGTGGACACGAAGCTCCCAGAGGGGCCCCGGGCAGTGTACAAGGTGGTCCTGCAGGACAGAGGCCTCGGTCCCACACACAGGGGGGCCAGGCCTGCTCTGTGACAGGACGACGTCGGCCACCCGGGCCCAGAGGCATTGGGATGCAGGGGGGCCTGGCTGCCTCTCGGCCGGTATTCCTCCCGCTGCATCCCATCTCCCTGGCGATGGGGAGCTGCCACACTGGAGGGCCACCCGCTTCCCAAGGGACAGAAGCCCCGGTCACCAGCAGGTGGCCCGTCACTCAGCCCTGGACACTCACCACAAACGGGCTGTTGACCTTCTCCAGGATCTGCTTCTCGTTGAGGGCCATGGACTCCCCTTTCCTCTTCTTGATCCTCTTCTTCTCCAAGCGCTTGCAGGCGTACATCTTCCCCGTGGCCCGAACCTGGCAGGCACAGACCTGCGGAGCAAGGAGGAACCACTGGTGAGGGACACGGCAGGCCTGCTCAGCGCCTCCGTGGCCAGGACGCTGGGCCCAGGGGTCGGGAACGGATGGAGCCAGAGCCGGCCGGGCCTGGCCTTGGACCACGGCTGCCCCGGGCCACACCCTTGAGATCTGGCTCCCCTGTCACCTCGCCCTCCCTCCTCGGGCCCTGGGATGGAGCCCAGCCTTGGAGGTGCAGAATGCGCCATTTTCAGCAACGCGTAGATGCTGCCGAGACTTGAGGTCCGTCCCTCTCTCAGAGGCAACTACATTTCCTGTCCTCAGTTCCACCCACTGGGCACGTTCAAGTGCCGGCCTCAGGCGGAAGATGCTTGTTGGGGACCAGGGACAGGAGACCCCTGAGAACCCCGAGTGTATGAGAGAGGAACGGGAAACGGGGCATTTGGGTTCTCGTCTTCGTTCTGCCCCTTGTGGCCGGGTCCCCTCACCATTCGGAACCTCCGCTTCCTCACCCCCAAGTGAGAGTCACAGGCTGGCCCCCTCTTGGGAAGCTCAGACAGGGAACAACAGCCCATAAAGCAGTGTCACCTGGCCCCTCGTGTCCTCACTTCTCTCTCCAAACAGCCAAGAGCAGCACCCATTTCTCCTCCCTGGACCTGAACCTGGGGCGGCCTCACCCCCAGCCCCAGACAGCGAGGGCTGCTCCGCACCCTGCTACCCCCTGCAGACACACCTGGCCCTCCCAAAGGCCCTGGTCCCGCGCTCTCCACCACAGGGCCTAGGACGCAGCCAACATGGGAACACCAGGCAGATAGAAGGGACAGGAAAGGGGACTGGAGTGCAGGAGCTGTCACCTGAAATGGGGTGCTCACTCACCTCCCCGAAGCCCCCCTTCCCCAGCACTCGGTACTGCCTGAAGGTGTTTTTGGTTATCGGTTGCCTGAAAAAAAGCAAGAATCATGGTGTTAAGATGCACAACCATATGCAACAGACAGCGGCAGCACCTGACTCGGGCGGTGCAAGGCACAGCTCCATGCCCCGGGGACCCCAGAAATGATCGTTGCCAAGGGGCCCCTCATGGGCTTGCTCTTGTTCAAGTCCTAGGCCACCTGCCCGCAGCCCTGCAGCCTGGGAGGCAAGCAGGAAGGCAGAAGGCGCAAAACATGTGAGGCAAAGCAACTTCAAGGGACGCTCCCTGTGGTTTCCCCTCTCTCCCGAATGCCAGTCCCATGGCTCAGCTCTGAAGGAAGCTGTGAGCTGGGTGCAGGGAGAGGGGAGGGGCCCAGAGCCACAGAGGCTCAGTGTCCCCTGGAGGGCATGACGGAGACCTGCCCTCCCTGCCCCTGCACATCCCAGCCAGCCCAGCATCTAGCTCAGCCCGCCCAGCATCTAGCTCAGCCCGCCCAGCATCTAGTTCAGCCCAGCATCTAGCTCAGCCAGCCCAGCATCTAGCTCAGCCCAGCATCCAGCTCAGCCCAGCATCTAGCTCAGCCCGCACAGCAGGATGGCGCACTTCCAACCTCTCCACCTCCCAGGGCCCCTTTGCTGTCCCCCCTAGAGCTCCAACACTGCAAGATCCCGTCTGCCAGCGGGGAATCTATGAAGTCATAGTCGCGTCGTGTCTCCCGACTCCCCGTTTTAATTAGCCAAAGCCAACCTCTGACTGTGAGGCAGGGCGGGGAGTAAAGACCAGATGGTCCTCTGGTTGCTTCGAAGAACCCCGGGGTTTGGGTAGCTTGTGCTTTTCACCGCTGGCCTGTGTGGCTGTGAATAATCAGCTTGCTTTCTCCCCTTAAACCTTTTTTCAGCTTTACTGAGGTATGACTGACAGTGTACAACTTGATGTTTTGATATATACATTGTGGAATGATCACTGCAATCAAGCTAATTAATATTCTATTACCTTAGTTCCCTCTTCCTCCCTCTCCTTCTGTTGAGAACACTTAAGATCTACCCTCCTAGCAGATTTCAAGCACACAATACAGTATTTGTTAACTAGGGTCACCACGCTGTCCGTTCGACCCCCCACAACGTACTCATCCTGCAAAACTGAAACTTTTTCACCCTTTGACCAACATCTCCCCATTTCTCCTCCCCTCACCACCCCTGGCAACCAGCATTCTACTCTCTGCTTCTATACATCTGACTATTTTCGGTTCCACATATCGGTGAGGTCGTGTGCTATCTGTCTTTCAGAGTCTGGCTTAGTTCACTGAGCAAGCATCTTCCAGATGGATCCACGTTGTCACAAAAGGGCAAGGTCTCCTTTTCCAAGGCTGAGTAACATTCCACGGTGTGTGCACACCACACGTTACTCCCGTGTGCACTGTGGCATTTCTCATAACAGCCGAGATATGGAAATAATCTAAATGTCCGTCAACTGGTCGGTGAGTAACAAACAGTCCACTTTACAATGTTAACACTGGCTCTTGGAACCAGAACTGGGTTGGTTTGTTAAAAAAAAAACTTTTTAAAAATTGATTTCAGAGAGGAAAGGAGAGGGAGAGAGAAACACCAATGATGACAGAGAATCATTGACCAGCTGTCTCCTGCCCCACGCTGGAGATCGAGCCTGCAACCCGGGCATGTACCCTGACTGGGAATCGAACCATGAGCTCCTGGTTCATAGGTCGATGCTCAACCCCTGATCCATGCCAGCCAGGCCAGAACTCTTTCTGAGCAACTCCCACTCCCACCCCAAGAGTCCTGGCCAGGGTTGAGGTTGGCAGGAGACTGAATTGGGCCAACGACCTGGGTCGGCTCAAAAAAGACAATGAGCAGCCAGCAGCTCCTGAATGAATCTTCCAGGAAAACTCTTCTGGCTGCTGGGTCCTGGAGAGGACTTGGGTTTTACCGGAAATCCGGTCCCTGTTCTCACAGGGTGTCCCCGAGACCCAGGGCGCTCCCGGCATTCACGTGCTGTGCCTCACCCTCCCTGGCATGTCGTTGGGCAGCGGGGTCCCCGTCGGCAGCACAGGGCTGCCCCTCCATCCCTCTGTCTCTCTACTCTGCAGGAGCGGCCAGGGCCCGGAGCTCCCTGCCAGGCGCTTCACCCGCTATCGCCCGGGAGCGTGTCCTACAGCCGCCCTCGAAACCACATGAAGGCGTCCAGGCCCAACCGTTAATGATACATGGAGAACAGACAGCCGAGTGACATTACCGCAGCGCTCCTCTGCTGGGGGGAATAAGTGGAATACAATTTCCAGGGAATTTCTTGGTTAACCTTGGGAGGGAAAAAAGATCCCTTTAATATTTTAACAGTATCGCCCTAAGGGGCCACGGTCTTGGTAGCGGGTGGGGAGGGAAGCAGAGGGTTGTCAGTCATTTAGGACATTTCTAGGCCAGCATCCTGACATACTGGCTTCAACGACTTAGTGCAAGGGCTTAGCTTCTCCGATTTAAAAAGTCCATTTCTCCGTCTCCTGTGCTTGGTGCAGACAAGAAAAATGAAAGTCAGTGGCCGCAACTAAAGGATCCCATTGGAACGGGGGTGCCGGGTAGAAGGAATTGAGTGAGGGACCTGGAGTTCAGGTTCCAGCCTCGCCAGGTTCTTGCTGTGTGACCCAGGGCCAATCCATGAACCTCTCTGTGGCCTGCATCTTCAGTAAAACGGAGTTATTGAAAGGCACTTGCATCCAAAGGCTTCTGAAGGCTGCTGTGTGTCAGACTGTGTGTCTCTATGGTAACAGTTCCCACTACTTGAAGCACCTTGTACATGGACTCATGCAGTCCTCACACCTGCCTTGGTCGGCGAGATGATTACCGTCTCCATTCTGCAGGCGAGAGCTCTCAGGCTTTGAGAGGCAGAATGAGCTGCCCACGGTCACGGCTGCTAAGTGGTGGGGTTGGAACTGGAGTCCAGCAGGAGCCCACGTTCGGTGTCCTGGTCCCACACTGCAGCTCTGGGGAAAGTGGGTGCAGATCGGGGCCTGTGTTACACCGCCCAGGCTTCCGGAAGTGGGGTGGGGCTCGATGGATACATCCCACTGCTGCCCACGAGGGTCAGCTGCTCCTCCCCATCCCAGACGTGCGAGGAAGCCGTCACGCTGACGCTGACACTGATGATCTCGGGGTGACCACAACTGTGTCAGGAGTTTACTCCTGAGGCCAAATGGCGGACCTCTGGTGAGTATGCACCTTGTCCTGGGCACATCCTGCCAATCTCATCTCCTCCTCGCCCCAAGCCTGCCAGGTGGGCACTGTTATTTTCCCCCCTGAAGGATGAAGCCGAGGCGCGGAGAGGCGAGCAGCCCTCCTGAGGCCCCTCCAGGGGAGGCCGAGCCGGGCTCAGACCCAGGCTGGGGCTCCATGCCCTCGGCAAGATGTGGGGCCGGCCCTCTGTTCCTCCGTCCCTCCTGCAGGTGCAAGGTGAGCAGCGGCAGTCCTGGGCTGACTCCTTCTCACTCTGCTGCCCCGTTGGTGGGGTGGAGAGACACGCTCTCCAGTGGCTGACGGGCAGGTGCTCTCTGGGCATCTGCAGGGCACTTGGCCAGTGAAGGTGTTACTAGACATGCAGAGTCAGGATGGCTCCTTGCTCTACACCCACACGTGCCCAGATGGCATACATGCCAGGCCTCAGGGCACAGGGAAGTCTGGGCTGTGGAACAGGACACCCCCACCGTGTCTACCAGCTCAGTGTGGATTTATTTATTTATTTATTTATTTATTTTTAACTATATTGTTATTGCCTGGCCAGCGTGGCTCAGTGTTGAACCAGGAGGTCACGGTTCGATTCCTGGTCAGGGCACATGCCTGGGTTGTGCGCTTGATCCCCAGTAGGGGGTGTGCAGCCAATCAATGTTTCTTTCTCATCATCGATGTCTCTCTCCCTCTCCCTCTCCCTTCCTCTCTCTGAAATCAATAAAAACGTATTTTTTAAAGAAAGAGGCGATTGGGTAAAACAGGGATGTGCAGCTCATCAGAGGATCTGGCAGCTCTTCACTTGCTGGTGGAGGAAGAATTCCCAAGGACAGAAAGAAAGAACAGGCTGCCAAGCTGCTCTGAGTGCGTGTGCCCGAGTGGGTGAGCGGTGGGTGAGCACACATCAGCAAGCACAGGCAGGGTGCTTCCAGACGAACACACAGGGGAGAGGCAGTTCATCTTATGGGGGCGGTGGGCCCATGGAGGGAACTGGTTCTTATACGACTGCTCAGGTGAAAACCTGCCCCCCTCCCCCCTCCCCACACTGGCACACGCGTGCGTGGGGAGCGCCAGGGCGGCACTCACCTTTCCAACCACTTCCACTGGAGAAAGCGATCAAAATACATGCTGTCCAGGTACTCACGGAAGGGCCCTCCCCGTAGGTAGTCATGGACAGACCTGCTCGGGGGGGACACAGACAGAAACATTCACAATCCTGGTCTCCATCAGATGGGCAGAGCCGTGTCCAGCCGGTTAACGCCCGGCCTCATCCACTCCCAGGCTTTGGAAATGCAGACACGCAGGGGCCAGAGGCCCCGTCATCCTAGCACAGTGATGGCGAACTGTGTCATAGGTGTCATAGGTGACGCATGAACTCATTTTTTTGGTTGATTTTTCTTTGTTAAATGGCATTTAAATATATAAAATAAATATCAAAAATGTAAGTCTTTGTTTTACTATGGTTGCAAATATCAAAAAATTTCTATATGTGTCATGGCACCAGAGTTAAGGTAGGGTTTTTCAAAATGCTGACATGCCGAGCTCAAAAGGTTCGCCATCACTGGGCTAGGAGGTTGCTGGAGACTGCCCAGCTGGCCCCGCCCACAGCCCCGAGCACCTGCCACAGGCACACTTGGCCCGGGGCAGCCATGAGCACTCGGGTGGCATCGGGATTGGGTAAGTGACAAATACTAAACACATGACGCCAGGAACATGTTATGAATGAGAGTGAAGGGAGGTCCCTGGGGTCAGGGAGATCTCTCTGGAGAAGGGACAGGTGCTGAAATGACAACAGAGGCAGACTTAGTTGGGTGCAGGGGAGGGACTCTGAGATAGTGGGTGGTGGGGGCCGAGTAGGGATGTGGCCCTGAGGGCCCAGGCTCTGAACTGGGTCCAGGACCGGCAAAGCCGCAGGGAGATTTCATCCCTGCAGCAGAGTTTACCGGTCACCTGTGGTGGGCCTGGCCCGGGTTGGGGACCTGGCTGCAGGCAGGGACGGGCTGCTTCCCTTTGAAAAGTGGCGATGCTGACCAACCTGGTCCGGCACTTGGGACCCGGGGAACGGAAAGGACATGCACGTTAGCGGCTCAGTCCTGCCAAACCGGAAACCCAGGGCTGATGTGGGGAGTCAGGATGACCACGACCTCAGGGGGACAGCCCAGAGACCTCACCCATTTTCAGACCTGACCCTCGGCCAGTTCTAGGAGGGCAGCAACCAGGCTTGTTCCTGTTCATGGGGGACTCTGCTCGGCACCTAGCATGGGGCTGGCCCCCAGCTGGCTCCCTAGTGTCCGTCCTCATCATCCGCTTCCAGGGCACGGGTGCTGGCTTTCCTGTCCCCCGCCTGCCAGTGAGCTCTGAGAGCCGGGGCTGGGTCCTGCTCACCATGGCACCCCCAGCACCAGGCATGGTGCCAGGCACAGAGAGGGCACCCAGTCGATGTCTGCGGTGCAGAGGCTGAGCAAGGGCACACCGAAGTCCCAGACTCATCCAGCCGTGTGGGTGGCCGGGCTCCAGAGGCCTCTTGGCATGTAGGTATGTGTGCGCGCACACCTGTCAGCTTATGGGGAGCGATGTGTGTGGGCACGTGAACAGGTGTGTGTTAAGCCTTTGTAGTGTAGTGGGGGGTTTGGGGGGAGCTTAATTGGTACAGAGTTGGCACCAACTTATCTCCTGTCCCATGAGGGTCGTTGTATGCCCTGCAGAGGTGATGGGGTGTCAGAGAAGGTACCCCCCTGCAGCAGTGACCCCCCAGCTCGGGTTGGTGGCAGCGGAGGGGCTTGGGGGGCCTGGGAAGGATTTCCAAACCACCTAGACCGGGTCAAATTTTTGCACATTTCTCCGTCTCAACAGCCTGGAGAGCCACCGCTTTCAACACCCTTTGAAGCAGATGTTTTCTTTGGACTCGGCCCCCTGGTATCTTTTTCCCTTCTTAAGGAGTCTACAAATGTCTGGGCGGCTTGGCTGGGGCCCTGGCCACTGCACACCAGCCCCCCGTGCCCAGCGCTCCAGGTGGGAGCTGGGGGCAGCCCTTGTCCAGGCAGCTGTGTGGCTGCCAGAGGCGCCGAGGGTCCGCCATCCGGGCCAGGAGGGAGGGAGGCGGCCGCTGGGGCACTTACTGTGCACAGGCCGAGAAGAGCTCTTTGCAGGGCCTCTGTAGGAGCTTCTCCTCCGTCTGGGAGACCAGGTCCCGACCGACTTGGGCGATGAAAACTGGGGACTGGAGGGAAGAGAAGAGGTGGTCAGTGAGGGGAGGAGCAGGGCGGCTGGGTCAGTGAGGGGACGGTGGTCTTCTCCTTCCACCCATCCCTGGCCCTGGGCAGCCTGCACAGTGTCCCGTGGTGCAGGGAGGTGGCTGGGCCAGAAGGTGGGGCAGGGGCCAGACTTAGGGTCCGCTTTCTGCTCTGCCATGGTCAGTGGGGTGACCTCCTGGAGGTCACATGGCTTCTTTGAGCATCACTGCCCTCGTGTGCAGAACATCGACCATGATGGTCCGTGTCCTGGGTCTGCGGTAGAACCGAATGAGGTGGGAGTGCTCCCGGTGTGAGGAGGTGGGAGTGCTCCCGGTGTGAGGAGCTGTGCATTAAGCCCGGCTCATTAGCAAGCCCCCCTGGGGCTGTCTCCTCGAGGGGCAAACTTGAGATGAACCCCTGCCCAGCCTCAAGGTCACGTACCAAAGGATCTGGAAGGGTAAAGGGCAAGCGAACAGGATGACACAGCAGCGCGGGGAGGGGAGCTCAGCACCTCTATGATTTATAGCTTTGGCACCGACACACCAGGGTGCGAACCCCACATCTGTTACTTGTAGCCGTGGGACCCTGGCCTAACTGCTCAGCCTCAGTGACCAGGAAGATGATCAGAAATACCAGTTTCTCCCAGAAGGAATCAATAAAACCACTAGGTCAAGCCTTGGCCCAGATCCTGGCACGGAGCAGAAACGTGTGCCATGAATGTTCTGTCACTTCATTCTCCTCCTCGTCTAAGCTGCCTGGCCTGAGCATTTCACGTCTGAAGGGCAGCTCCAGCGTCCCACCCGGGAGCAGCAGCCAGCTGGGAAGGCAGCCCCTCCCACACCCACCACTCCCCGCACCAGTCACCCGCCACCAACTGCTCACTCACCAGCTGGGCCCCAAGGTGGGTTTTTAATAAATTACAAGAATAATTAAGAAAATTGCAGGGAGTGGGCTCAGAAAGATGGGGTGTAGACGCATCTTTTCCAAAGATGTTGAGCTAGTAAAGACTTGCTTTCCCTGCCCAGCTCTTGTCACGTGACTGTGGGGCTGACTGTTCTGCTAAGCCCATCGGGAGGCGTCTGGGGGGGTTGATCCTGAGGGTGGAGGCGGAGCTGCCTGGCATGGCCCTGGTGAATGACACCAGTGGCTCATCTTCTGGTCCCCACTGTTCTGAATGCCATGTTCCTTCCTTCCTTCTTCCTCTCCCAGGTCCTGTCCTCTCTGCAGGTCTTCCCCTGTCATGGGGCCTCCCCGCCCTGGATGGGTGGAGCCTCAGGTGTGGGGGGAGCTGCTGTGATGGTAAATGCCCCCCAAACTCCCAGAGCAGACAGAGCCAGTCACACCCCATCCCAGAGCATCTCCCAGATGGTTGCTGTCGCCAACCCTGGTGGTGGTGGCTCCCTCCCACCCTCCGTCCCCACATGGACAACTTAATGCGATGGCAGAAGAGCAACCAGTAGTGTTGGTCTCTGGAGCTCGCTGTTGCTCCTTTTGCAGAAAAGATGCTCGACCAAGAGGCTGGAGCCCCGAGCTCCAGTCCGACCTCTGCCCTTGGCCATCTGGGGCCTCCCCGCCTTCCTTGCAATAGGAAGGGGCTGCCCCAGAGATGACTTTTGGGTCCTTCCAGACTTGGGAATTGATGGTTGAGGGTTTTTTTGCTTCTAATCCTTGGGGAACTTTCTTGGGAATCTGGCAGCTGAGTTTATTGGGGACCAGTAACTCCAGAGCAAGGGACTATCAGCACAGACCCGAGGCCACTGGCACATCTGCTTCAGGAAGCGAGCTGGTGGCTGGGGCAGCCTGGGTCTGAAGGGCCTGGTGGCTGGCCCAGAGCTGGTGGTGGCCGAGATAAGGAGAAGATCCTAACGGGCTGGGGTCATCCGGGAAAGCTTCAGGGAGGATGGGGCAGAGGCAGAGCAGAATTTGGCCTCAGGCCTCCCTCCCCTCATGGTCCCTCCCACCTGCCTTTGAGGACAGCCACCTGGGCTGCCTTCTCAGCCACACCACTCCCATTCTTTGGCACTGGCTGGCAGGGGGCTCTGGGGACACTGCCCACAGTCGAAGCCCAGAGGGGAGTTAATGAGCAGGTAAGAATGTGTTTAGTGTCACAACCAGGGGCTTACATTCAGTCCCTGGCTCGACATGAAGAGATTAAGGATTCCAACCAAACCCCTTTCAAGTGACTCCAGGGAACACCACCTTTGCCAATAAGACGGGAGTGAGAAGCTGCTGGCCAGCTTAAGTCAGAAACGGAAACCCAGACGCCAGGCGTGAAGGAGCAGCAGCTCAGAGGGCATTTCAGGGGGACACTCGCTGTTTGTGTCCCCGGAACCAGAGGGGGCCTGGTCTTTCCGCTCCGGTCAGAGAAGTGAATTTCGGGGGGAGACTGTTAGGAAGGTTCCCGGGGCCTCCACGTAGTGAGTGTGCCCCCTCACGTAAGAAAAGGCTCTGAGGCCTCAGCAACCACAGTCCCCCCCACCCCCTCCCTGGGTCCTTGAAGACAGTTTCAGATCCCTTTCCCTCCTGGTCCCAGGGGCCCTGCGAGGTGGGCTGAAGGTGGGGTGTACCCTACAGGCCAGAGGGGCTCTGGCAGCAATGCCACCTCCCTGCACTGGGGCCCGGGAAGCAGGAGAGCTGGGCTGGGCAGCACATTGGCTCCTTCTACCAGGGACCGTCCCTCTGGAAGGAAGCTGAGGGTCAGGGTGGGCAGGAGGGATGGGCACCATCCTCCTCCGTGTCCAACAGCAAGAGCCTCAAGGTCTTAGGAGTTTACAGGGTGAAAGCAGCCGGAAGGTCTCTGAGACCGTCCCCCGGGTCCTGGGACCCCTCCCCATCAGCAGGGCTTGAAGTGACACTTGTTCTTTGGTCACCAGATGGTCTCCTCAAGGAGCGCCAGCCTGAAGGCTTGGCCTGAAAGGACGCTGTCCCTTTAGGGGCCTAAGTCCTTTGAAATGTGTGGCATGAAGTGTTGGGGCATGGCTTCCGGGCCAGGAGGGCCAGGGTTGGGGTTTCTCTCCCGCTGGAGGCCCCACCTTGAATGCCTGCCTCCCGATGGTTCGGGGCAGCCGAAGCTAACCAGCTGGCCAGCCTCGAAGTGACCAGTCTGCCCAGCTCCACCAGAAGTCCCCCCTGATGACAGTCTTGAGGACCCCAGCTGCTCTTAGGAGGGCTCTGTAGTCAACTCCTGGGAAAGCTTAAGCCAGCAAGGCATGCCTGGGGGACAAGGCCATGCAGCCCCAGGCACTGACCAAAGAGCTCTGTTCCCTCCTGCAGAGAAGAAAGTGACCCCGCCCTCGGACATGTGGCCTCGGCCAGACCTCTGTCATCTCTGCTCCATCAAAGAGGAAACCTCTGCCCTAGCTGGTCTGGCTCAGTGGATAGAGCGTCGGCCTGCGGACTGAAGGGTCCCAGGTTCCATTCCAGTCAAGGGCACATGCCGGGTTGCAGGCTGGATCCCCAGTGCGGGGCATGCAAGAGGCAGCCAATCAGTGATTCTCTCTCATCATTGATGTATCTCTCTAAATAAAAAAATATATATTTTTTTAAAAAATGGAACCCTCTACCATATTCAGGCACAGTATCGACCAGGAATAATTCGGTGCCCTGGGGGCCCCAGGCTCTGCCTGCACCCACCAGGTCATTCCAGCCTCGGCCAGTGTGGCGGTTAGTTCACAAGGTGGCGCTGTTGAGCCCCTTGTGCCAGCGCTTCACTGCACTGACACCCACAGATAGACCAGCCCGTAGGCCTCTAAGACCAGGTGGCACAGAGCACATAATGACCTAGTGACTCATCTCAGGCCTCAGGTGAGGAAATAATGAGAGATCCGTTGGGAGGGAGCCCTGAGGGAGAGGTCGATAATCCTGGGGTCACCCTCGGAGCCTTCTGGAAGCACACACCCTCTACTTGTTCAGAGACTTGGGACTCAAGGCGGTGCAGCGGGAGGAGGAGATCGCAGAGGGCTCTCCTGGAAGACCCCTCAGGACCCAGCTGATGAACCCACGCGGGGCCCAGATGGGGGACTGACAGAAAAGACCCAGGAGGGAAGGACCCCTGCACGGTCACGCCGCTGGCCCATGGCAATCTGGTCACAGAGCCTTTCCCCCACCATCACCGTGCCCTCCAAGGACACACCGTCCTTCTCAGATAGGGTGAGGGGATGTGACGTTGGCCCTGAGGAGCAAGCCCTTCCTGGAGGCCATGGGGCTGGAGAATGAGGTGCAGTGGACTCTGCCTGTTTGGGCAAATGCGATTTGTATAATGCACCCCCACCCCCCCCCCCACTCCCACCCCCACCCCAGGCTAATGGCCACCATATGCTTCGCTTCAACATATGAAAACAGCCCACCGCGGAGCTCCGCGCTCATTAGCAGTGGTTCCATCAGCGAACCAAAGGTCAGCCCAGGAGACTGCCGCTCTATCTCCAGACGCAAGCACTTAGGCCGTAATGATGTGTATATTTTCGTATGTGGGCAGTTGACATTTCCCATGTAAACTATTTGCAATTTCCCAACATGGACAGACGTGGCCTTCAGGAAAAGTGGAGCAGCGGAGAGACAAGGCACTCTGGGAGAAAGAGGGTCCAGGGTCCCCCTTCCTTCCAAACAAGGGGCTGTCCATACCAGGGTGGAGGCAGCTGTTTCTTGAGGGGAGGGGGGCACCTCCATTTCCCCTCCAGCACAGGAACAGGGGAGGGGTTCTCTCACAACATACCCCGCCGCCCACAGACCGGTCACGAGGGGGGTCTGCGTCAGCGGCCGAAAGCTCTGCGCACAGCTGCCAGGGCCTGGCCGTGGGCGAGGGCGGGGTGGGACCCAGGCTCTGGCTGTGAGCGTCTGGGACAGGGACCGGCCCGACAGTCACTATTCCTCGACGTGAGTTTCCCCACAATGTTATACTTCTGTTGCTCCCCAGAACAACCGTAATGGGGGGCTGTTCCCAGCCACCACCAGAGACTCAGCAATGCTGCTGCTCACTCCTGTCTCATCA